GTTGCCATTCCCACCAACAATGTAGAAAGGTTCCTTTTTCCCTACAGGATTGCTGGTGGAATTTGTTATTTGATTAAATGATAACAACCATTTCTGGAGTAAGATGGTCTCTTGATGGTGTCTTACTTTGCATTTCCCTAATGACCAGCACTGGTGAACATTTTTTCTGGTATGTACTGGCCATTTGTATTTATTCTTCTGAGAAGTGTCTATTCATTTCAGCTGGCCTTTCTCTGATTGGGCCTTTTATACTGGGGGAGGGTCTAATTTTTTTGAGTTCATATGTCCTAGATGTTAGTTCTGACAAATAGCTGACAAAACGTTTTTCCCATTCTGCCAGTTGTCTCTTCACTGCTGGTTGTTTCCTTTGTTGTGCAGTCTTGTCAATTTAATACAGTTCAGACCGCATTCCTTTGAGCACCTGCACTCTCCTCTTGAGTGGATCTGTCTCCCTCAATAAACCTTTCCTACTCTTAACTTCCACTTTCCTGGAATTCATCCTTCAATTTTGGGAACATGAACTGCACACATCAAGTTGGGAATTACGTCTCTCTTACATCACTTTGGAGGTCTATTTAAGGTCTCTGGAAAGAGACAGAAAGGAAGAAACACTAAAGACTTCTAAACACAACAATTTTGATCCAGCAGAGATGCACAGGTCAAACAATGAATTCTTGACTAAGAGAACAAGGTGACCGGCACAGGAACTGTGTGTAAGAGAGCAGAAATCCCCAATGAAATTCTGTAATTTCAAAACAGAAAATTATATAGCACCAACTTTGAATTTCAGAAAGATACAACACTGGCCTCAAATATGGCAAAGAACAACAAACTGGTACTGCTGTCAACACTGCACCGTGACAGAAACACTGACAGAGAAAGCTCAACAAAACTGAGGCCTAAGATGGCAACTTTTAGGCCAGTGAGATAGCTCAGCAGACTAAGGGCCTGCTTAGGCAAGTGTAGGGATCAGGGTTCAATTCCTGGCACCACATGCCACACCAGCCCTGGCCTCATGCACACTGAGCTGGCCAAGACATGGTGTGGTGGAACATGCCTGTAATCCCAGTACTGGGTAGGCTGAAAACAGGAGGATCACTATGAGTCCAAGCTGCCTAGTGAGACCCAGTACCAAGTACACACACAGACACAGACACAGGTGGTAACTTTTTACAACAAAAATCAGAGGACATGTTGATGTGTTATGCTACAACTATGACGTCATTCAAAACACAAAGCATGGCCAATGGTCATGTTCTACTGGACTATAAAAGTATACAGCATGAATAGTTGGATAGTTTAGGAAGAAAATAACAAGTGCAAAATAACAGGGAGAAATTTTCTTAGGGAACCGGGACTAGAACTCAAAAGAAATCATTTATAGCAGAGGAAGAACAAAATGTTTCTGTCCAGGGAACTACGAAAAAAAAAAAAATTGTGCAAAGCACACTGGCAAGCTCCCAGGTGAAGAGCCAGGAGCAACACTGTAAGGACCTACTGTGACAACAGGAAAACAAAAAAGATGTCGCCTGTGGCCTGCAATAAAGGACAAGAAACAAAACACATGCTGTCAGTGTGATACCTGTACACAGAACATGCAGTTTTCATGCATGAGGACTGTTTTGGGTGTGACAACTGAAACAAGATTATTTCTGTTGTGTACTTTTGTTTGTATTTACATTTTAGTTCAGATAGGTATTTATTTCTGATTTTATCTTTTGTTTTGTAAACAAGTAAACCATTGATGTAAAATTGATGTCCATTCGAAGCATTCATTATGTATTTGGTATTTTATTTGACTGATAGCTTATTGTCCTGCTAAGCATACATTGTGTAATATAGCAATATCTCCTGAGGAAGCAGCAACACCAGTGAGGTATCAGGTACATCCTACAAAAGAAAGACAGGAAAGACAAGCCCTCGTACCATCAGTGCGGCACGTGTGTACGGAACATGCCGTTGTCACCTGTGAAGACTACTTTAGTGAGACAAGTGAAGCAAAGATTTTTGTGGGGAGTTCTATTGCTAATTTCATTGTTCTTCACATAAGAATTTATTTCTGATGTCATACTTGAGGTTTTGTAAGCAAGTACACAGTTGATGTGAAAATACTGATGTCTATTCTTAGCACTCATTAGGGATTTGACACTTTCTCAATATCTCAGTTTCCTAAGTGCATGTTGTACAATGTAGTAAGAAGCTCCTAAGAAAACAACAAAACAGTGAGATGTCAAGTATTACCTTCCAAACAAGACAGGAAAGCTAAGCACATGCAGAACGTGCAGTGATTAAGTGTGAAGACTGCCTTGCATATGGCAACTGAAGCAAAGACTACATTTGTTATAGAGTTCTATTGGTATTTGCATTGTCATTCACAGAAGGATTTATTTTTCAGACTTTGTAAGACAACAACAGTGGATGCTTTTTTAAATAAACACTCAATAAATACTAAAGGGGCCGGGGAGATGGCTCAGTGGAATAAGCACTTCCCTAGCAAGTGCAAGGGTCTGAGTTCAATCCCCGGTTCCGCAAAAATAAATAAATAAATAAATAAATACTAAAAATTGAAAAAAAAAATTGGTATTATCCCATTTGTTGATTGGCAGCATATCTTATGCCACTGGAGTTCTGTTCAAAAAGCCCTTGTCGGGATGGGGAGATAGCTCACTGGTCTAAGCATCTGCCTGGCAAGTGCAAGGACCAGGGTTCAATATTGATATCTTACACTGCTATCCTATACATGCCGTGTAGGCCCTATGCCGAGCCGCCACCAAAACCAGGTGTGGTGGCGCAAGCCTGTAATCCCTGCACTGGAGAGGCTGAGACGGGAGGATCACTATGAGTCTGAGATGAGTAGCAAGACCCTGTACCAAATAAGTATTTTAAAAGCCCTTGTTTATTTTTGATGACAATCTCCTTTATAACTGCAGTTATTTTTTTTTTCCTAGCTTGCTTTAGGTTTGTACATCTAATTTACTCCTGTCCTTATTAATGTGAAGATTCATTCATGTTGTAGCAAATATCAGTAATTAATTCCTTATGATTGAATATCCTACTGTAAAATACACCTCATTTTAGTTTATCCAGCTGATAGCTGATGGACATTTGGGTTGCTTCCCACCCTTAGCTGTTGTAATGAAGCTGTTATAAATATGTGTGTGCAAGAGTTTTTTACATGTAAGTTTTTACTGCTCTTATGTACAGACCTAGGACTGCTGCTCTTAATCATCTGATAGAACTACTGGACTATTTTGCAAAATGGCTATACCACTTTACAAACCCACTGACATAGTAGAACTGTAACTTTTTTTACATCTTCATTAAGAATTGTTATTATCTACCTTTTTATTATAGCTAGCTCATCGGTCCTTGGCCATTTGGCTAAGATCAAAGGTATTATAGCTATCTTGGGGCCGGGGAGATGGCTCAGTGGAATAAGCACTTCCCTAGCAAGTGCAAGGGTCTGAGTTCAATCCCCGGTTCCACCAAAAAAAAAAAAAAAAAAAAAAAGATTACAAAGGTATTATAGCTATCTTAAATGCATGTGAAATAGTATTTCACTGTGACTTTCATTTATATTTCTCCAGTGGTAAAGATGTTAGGGTTTTTTT